AACTATGGAGTGCATTCTGTGATAAAACAGTTAGGATCGCTATAAATCAGCATCAATTAGAAAACAAGTGGTAGTATAAAATAATTTGGATTCGTTATCAGTATTTTAAAATCAGGACTTTCCCATTAGAACCTATTGTTCTGGTTTATTTGAAAAGTTAGAAAATGTGATCATGCTGGACCTTTCTTTCTTCATGGTCGCAGTTATGTGGAACTTCTTTTGACCACTCTTGTTCTCTCCAGAAATTACACCCAGACCACCTCACTAGTCTATGTATTCTAAGCCCTCTAAACAGCTGCATTTACAACTTTTGCTGTGGCTAGACACTGAGTCCATCAAGCAGGAGGGGATATTATAAGCAAGAAATCTAAGCTAGAAAATAAGGTAGAATTTACAATGTTGTTAAGTTTTGTCAAGTCTCTTCTGACAGGGATCCTGTATAGGGTTTCCAAGGAGCAGATGGTGGGTTTGAACCACTGACCTTGTGGTTAGCTGTACAGTGCTTATCCTATAGCACCACATGAACAATCTCCACAATAGCAATGATTCTATTTCATTTTATGCTATTAGCTTTCTAGGAAATGTTTCATTTTTAGAATCTGATAAAAATTATATGTTAAAATATTTTTCATAAAAGGAAATATTGTGGATTAGGGCCAATTTATCTTCCTGGGGCAGTGCTGTTGTATAAACACTGGACCATAATGTGAGTTTGAACTGCAAGGTCAGCAATTCAAACTCGGTAGCCACTCCTCGGAAATCCTATACAGGGTTGCTATGAGTCAGATCCAACTTGAAGGCACTTAACAACAACAACAACAGATATCACAAAGATGCCTTCTATGGAGACTCTTCCTTTATAGAAATACCCTCAACAAAATAAGGGAGTGAAGAACACAAATTCTGATGGTGTATTGTGTGTGACAAATATTGCAATAAAAGTATTCTAACATTTACTAAGTGCCTTGATCCGGCAGTGTTTCTTTCTGCTGTGCATCAGTCGCTATGGGTCGGTACCGACTCGATGGCACCTAACAACAATAACAAGGTAGGAAATTGGACTTTTGGTATGGTGCTGTAGGATTAGTGCTGGACTGCGAACTACATGGTTGGCAGTTCAAATCCACCAACTGCTCCTCAGAAACCCTGTACTCAGGGTCTCTACGAGTCAGAACTAACTTAGCAGCACTTAACAATAGGTAGGCAATTAGAGGAATCAGTCCTGGACTGTGAACCACAAGGTCAGCAGTTCAGACCCACCAGCTGCTCCTTGGAAACCCTATACAGGATTGTTGGGAGTTGGAATAAACTCGATGCCACTTAACAACAATAACATTAGGCAGAGTGTGTGTAACATCTTTAGGCAACTCTGTAATTTCAGAGTTGAGATTATTCTATCTAAAAAAATAAATAATTATTTCATAATATAACCTCCTCAGGTTTTCAAGAGACACTGCCCTTTTCATGCTGTAGATAAATTTCTGACAAGATTTTCTTTGCTCTTATAATCTATGGCTATTGGTTGCTTTGTCTATTTATTAAAGTGATTCCTGATTACTTTTGACTCATTGTTCTTGTGCCTGTAGTGTAAAACTGTCCATTCTAATCATTTCATGCCTGTTTCATTTGAAAAAAAGTAAATAGTTGCGATCTTAATATCTTTGCTTTGATTTTAGAAACCCAGATTTTTTTTTTTTTCAAAACTTTTTAATGTGAATTGAGCGCAGGTTTACAGAGCAGGTTTGCATTCAGCAGATTATTAACTTTGTTTTATTATAATGATTGCAATCCTTTCCATGTACCATCAGTTAACAGTATTTTCCTCTATTCACTTTAATTCTTGCTTTCCTCCCTGTGTCTCCTACTACCTTCATTTTTCCTCTGCCAACCTTCCTCTTGTATATTACATACCCCATCACCCATGTTAATGTGTGTCCACCCTCTAGTACCCTCTAACCTGTAAATAATCTCCCCCCAAAACCATCATAGAATGTTGCTTTTAGCATGAAAACCTTTTCTTAACTTTTTACAACAGTGGTTTCGTACAATATTTATTCTCTCGGATTAACTAATTTCATTCAGTATAGTGTCCTCCAGGTTCATCCATGTTGTGAGATGTTTTGCAGATTAATTGCTATTCTTTAACATTGTATAATATTCCATTGTGTGTATGTACTAAAGTTTGTTTAACCATTCTTCTGTTGCTGGGCATTGAGGCTGTCTCCATCTTTTTGCTTTTGTGAATAGTGCTATAATGAACATGGGTATATGTATATCTGTTAGTGTCATGGCTCTTTATCTTGAGGCTGTATGTACAAGCTA